AACAGAAGGTGGCCCAAAAGCCCTTTCCTCTGGGCTGGGAGCAGCGGGAGGGATGGTGACCAGGAAGCCCCTTCCTCTGGACTAGGAGCAGTGGGATGGTGGCTCAGAAGCCCCTACCTCTGGGCCGGGAGCAGCGGGACTCAGTACCTTGGTCTGGTGGTCTGGTGCCCTCTGCATCTTTGTAGTGTGGAACCAGGTGGCTGCCTGTCTGTAGTGGGGTGATTGGGCGTCTTCTGTGTGACTCGGGACCTCAATAGGGCATGCACAGACCTGCCTGTCTGCAGCGGGCTGATTTGGTGTGTTTGGTGCGACTCAGGACCTCCCTACTTTCTACTTTAAAACTTTATACAAATTATAATTTGTCTCTAAAATTATATAGTTTCATTGTTTGGTTCATCCCCATATCCCTTTTAAATGAAAGAATGAGAAATGAGCTATTTAGTGAACATAGCTGTTAAAAGTGAAAATGATTTTAGAATACTTTTTTAAAAAATTAGTAAGAAAGGGAAAAAGTATTTGCTGATCAGATGGATTTGCCATAAATGGCAAAATGGTTAAAACCTCGAGATATTTCACCCTTTTGGACAGCAATAAATATATGTACTAGGTGTGATCAAAAAATACAATGAATGTTTATGTTAAAACATATTACAGTAAAAGATATATTGACAATACTATCCCTCAAAATTCTCCCCTTCGCTTTGAATATACTTTCTCCCATTGTTCTTAACACTTTGTGAAGTAGTACTGATGAAAGTCCCTCTTTCATGTCCTTAGGTGTGCTGCTTTATGTGTCCTGAGTCGATTCAGAATGTTTCTTTCCTGGTCATTTTGACTTTGGGAAGTTGCACAGGGCCAGATGCAGTGAAAAAGGTAGATGACATATTGTGAAGGAGCCTACCTTTGTGCTGGATGGCGGTTGGCAGCTATGTTCAATGTATGTTTTTCATCAAACCTCGTAAAAACATGGAAGAGGACTTCCAGAAGGGCTTCAGAAAGCAGCAAGAATGATGGGATAAGTGTGTTTGAAGTGAAGGAATACTTTGAGAGAAATTTATTTCACCTTTCCCCAAGTATTTCTAGGATAGATTCTTTTCCTGAATGTTACAAAGATAACTTTACATTCTTGGTTACCAGTTGCCACCTTCTAGTATCTGTTTAATTTCCATGTATCTCAGTTTATGCCTTACTCCTCTCATGGCTTGGTCTTTGTGACAGTTCCTCTCTTGAGACGGCTGTCAAATCAAGACCCAGATAGAATAAAAAACAGACAAGCCTGGCAAGACGTGAGCAGGCAGTTGTTACTAGGGAGCACGAGGGAATGAAAGAGGCTCTCCTATCATCAGAACCTGCCTGCAGTCCAGTGAGGGGTACTGTATAACTTAAGATATATATGGAGGCATCCCTTTGAACACTTGGGCATCCTCTGTGCATAGTCACAGGGAAGTCAGTATGCTTCTGAGTTCCATTGGTTATGACAGGAAGACCTTGAGAAAGTCAACTTGTAAAAGGAACAGGTCTAGTGTGTGGTGCCAACCAAAGTGCCTGGCAAAAACTCATTAAATACAACTGCTAGTATTGCCGTTACAATTAGTCATGCCTCTTGCAGGTTAATAGCATTTTAGATCCATAAAAGATGAGTCAGCCCCTAGCTTTCCAGCCCCACTCTACCAAGCCATAAGGGAACCATTCAGTGACCTGAGCAGTGAGGTCATAGGCAAGGACACAGCTGTTCACCAAAGGCTGTCCTTGATCTCCAAGCCTTTTGACTTTTGTATGGTATCTGTCCTCTCATTCTTTACCCCAATACCAGATTTTACTTCATACACAGAATTTAAGCTATCAGATATCTCCAGGGAGGTAGTGTTTCAAATGTTCCACTTGCTGGCCTGGCCTTGAAAGGGGAGAGTATTTGTGGAACTCCTTCCTGTGGCAGCAGCCAGTCAAGGTTCATAAGGGAACACAGACTTTGGTCTCTGCTCCAAATAACCTAAGCATCCTCCCCAACTCCTCCTGCACAGGTTGGGTTGCAGCAGTAGGGTGGGAGAGAGGAACCAGTTGTACTCCATTTGCACACGAGCATTTGGCTCTTTTTTGTTTTGTTTTATTTTTTTGTTTTTTTTGTTTCTGGGATTTAAAGTTTGTGTGGTTGACTTCAAAACACATTTTCCATGATGCATTGTGTTGCAGTCCTGCTTACCTATGATGCTGTTGCCGTTGTTGGATGTGGTATGGTGGGATGAACAAACTCATCCTGCGACCAGTGCCCAGTCCTGGGACCAGCTGTCAAGTGGCAGGCTTCTCTACCACCATTGGAATAAAATGGCCAATTTTGAAGTCTACCTGTTCAACAACAGCACTGTTTTCTGTAGGTACGTCCCTCTGAGCAGAGGAGAATAAAGCTCACCCATGAGGCTCAAGTTTTAGCAACTTAGAGCCCAGTGTAGATGTGAGAAGTTCTCTCACCCTCAAACTTACATGGGTTGTGCATATTTATGGCAGCTGGTATGCTGGGGTTGTTTCTATATTTAATCTGAATTTTAATATATAGCTGCTCAAGAAATAAAGTCAGGCATTTGGGGAAAGGAAAAGTTCAAGCTGGTGAAAGAATTTCTCAAAAAGTGAAATTTATCTTTCAGTTTTGTAAAATGCTGTATCCACTAGGAGATACCTTACGGAAGATTTCTCCCAATGACTTTTCAATTTTACCATTTTGCTATTTTAAAATTTTTCTTATTAGGGCATGTTTGTAGTACATAATTATTAGATTCTTCATGGGGAGTTGGAATATATGCATAGCAGCATCTCGGTTATTTTTTCATCTTCTTCCCCTTCCTGCTCCCTCCCTCCATCTTGGTCCCCTTCCCATTTGCAAATGATCTATCTTCCTATTTCCTATTATCTGTCTTTTATTTTGCTCTTTATTTATATATTGTGTTTCTTGAATAAGAAACCGTACTGTATTTAAGCTTGTGTGTCTTGATTTATTTCACATGGTCTCAAGGTGCATCTACTTTCCTACAACTGATTCAAATTTATTCTGCTTTATGGCAGAGTCGTGCTCCATTGTGTATAGACACCACATTTTTTGTGTCCATACGTTTGTTTTTGAACATATAGGCCAGTTCCACAATTTAGCTATTGTGCTGCTATAAACATGGGTGTAGGCCTATATCACTGTAATATGATGTCTTTAAATCTTTCCAGAAGATACCTACAAGGGGAATAGCTGCATCAAATAGAACTACCATATGCTGTTTCTTGCCTCCTAGAATTTGAGAAGACCAAAAATTAGTTGTTAGAGAGTTTGAAATAAAGGACTGACTGAATACACACAATAAAAAATGCAGATTATGTTCTAGGAATAAATAGGTAAGCATTGATTTACATCTTGTTTGTTGACACCTTTGCCTCATTTGGAGAGTTTGAGCTGTACGCAAATGTGTGGTTAAATAAAGTAATCAGTCTTCATCAACAAGTAATTAGGCCAACAAATGATACCCTTTCTTTTCCTTGCTAAACAGGGAGGATTAGCTAGAGGTTGTGGCCATGGGTGTTAGGTTATTAATAATTTGTAGAGTGGAAGGCTGCTTGCTTCCTGAAGGGAGTCACCCTCAGGGCTCAGAATGGCCATTTGTCAAGGACCAGCCAGTCTTGTATCCCCATGCTGTCTGCCTTTCCAGTTCTTATGTATGAATCAGATGCTTTCACTTACTTTGCAAATTTAAAAAGTTACATGTGACACTTTAGTAGGTGTTGACTTGGTCCACATTTATTATTACTTTTCTCTTTACAACTATGGGGAAAGGTTTTTTTCTAGCATAATGTTTCAAAAGTTTTAATCTGGTGCAAACCACCTCTAGCAGTTTTTCTTTAGATGTGAATATAAACCATTACAAATGGTAAGTTTTATCCATCTATTAAAAATAACACCTTATGGGCCGGGGATTTAGCTCAGTGGCACCATGCTTGCCTTGCTAGTGCAAGGTCCTGAGTTCGATCCCTGGTTCCCCCCCCGCCAAATAATAACACGTTATGTAACTCTTTTGGTTGTAAGCACAACAATCAAAAGGATGTATTTATTTTATATCTAAATTAGTTCGATCTTTAACCAGAATCATTTCCTTATGGAACAATTATTGAATTCTTATATAACACCACCATTAGTTGCACTGGGATCTAAATTAAAGGTCAGTTTAAATAATTTAAAGCTTAGAAATCAAGAAGCAGGATATTTTAATTATATATCATGGCAAATCTCAGTTCTCAGTTTTCCTATAACTTTGCTTCCTGCTCTTCAGCAAAGTTTATATAACCACCCCATGAATAAAACTAATTATTTACACTTGCTCTTAGCCAAAAGGCCGAGAAGCTTTTTTTCACTGTATTTACAAATCCTCCAAACACTTTAAATGGTGTATTGTGAATATAGTCTACTGACAACTTTGACTCAGTGAGAGGCACAGGGACAATGTAGTGGCTGAATGCACAAACCCTGAAGCCTGTCCATTCTGTATGACATTTGTTGGGCTGGTTACTTGTGTCTTATCTGTAAAATGGGTGCCACAACAATGAGAATAATTGCTTTGTGAGACTTCCAAGAGAATTAAATGGCCATATATACTTCACACACACACACACACACACACACAGTGATACCACAGTTCATGAACTGAATTCTTTCCATAATTCCAGTCGCAAACCAAGTTGGATGAGAACTGAATCAAATTCAGTGGTTAGATTAGGTACAATGTTGACCTTATGGGGAAATTTGATTCAAATCTAGTCCAATTCAGTTTGTAACCAGAATTGCGGAAACAATTATAAGTTTATGAACTGGACCATCACTGTATATGTAATTTACTGAGACCAGTACATGGTACATAGTGGGTGTTAAGTGCTTGCTAATATATTTTCTTTCAAAGGAAATGAGTCCCTCCCTAGTGTACCACTTTGTCTACTTTTATGCTATGTTACATACCATTCTCCTCCGGGATATGCTAGGACATCACACCTGGTCTATAGTAAACTGAAAATTTTCAAAAAACACAGCTAGGCCAACTTTCCCCAGGAAGGGCTTGTCCTGGGGAGTATCTCTGATTCCTGCAAATGGGAATCTGAATTTTTTTCCCCTCAGTCACCTAAATGGATCACAGTGCTCTAGCTATTACCTGGTTCTGAGTGTTCTAGATACTGACTGGTGGTTTAATTTCTCAATTTTGATGACCTGTGGGAGGTGATGCAAAAACAGCAACTCACTAAAGGGCCTATCAGTATGTGGAGAAATTTTTCTGCTTCCACATTTTAATCTAAGCAAAAACAAAGGTCGTATCAGTACCAACGATTCTTCAAAAAATTAATGTGTTTGTAAATAAGGACTAAATGTATAATAGGTAATGTGAAATAGGAAGAAAAGGGGCAAAGGGGAAGGAAGTGGGAGGGCTAGGGGAAAGGATAGAAGGGAATGGGATTAATATGAGAAAATGGAAAAAAGGAACAAAATATTTGTAAATAGGGAGGAATGGAGGGGTTGAAGGGAGGGAGGGCTGGGCAAGGGTGAAAAATAAGAACCAAGAGAGACTATGTAAAGGTGCAAATTTCCAATGATGAATGTCATTATATTGTATACCTAAAATGTACCAATGATTAGAATGAATAATCGATAATGTAAAATAGGAAGAAAAGATCCAAAGGGGTAGGGGTAGTGGGAGGGGCAGGGGAAAGGAAAGAAGGGAAAGGAAAAAATGATGAGAAATGGAAAAAATGGAAATAAAGTCTTTGTAAATAGGGAAGGGTGGAGGACGTGAAGGGAGGGCTAGGAATGGGGAAAAAATAAGAACCAAGATGCATTATATAAAGGTACAGTTCCCAATGAGAAATGTAATTGTGTTGTATACCTACAATGTACCAATAAAAGAATTTAATACAAAAACAAAAAAAATTAATGTGTTTAAAAATACTGTGGATATCATGTGATCCCCAAACTGCAGAAACATAAACTCATGGTATCTAAACATATATAATGAAAATTTCTTGGCATAATTATCGTAGTTCCTTAAAATACAATTCAAAACAACCATAAACCAAATTAGGAAATAATGCAGTTGTTTATATTCAAAAAGGTTATGTGTCCTTAATGTTGTTAAAGTACTACTATAAGAGGAAGGCTTTAGTCAACTTCCTTATCCAGAGGTTACAGATAATATCATTTGATGCATTTTTCCTGATTTTACCTTAACATGAGTCATTGCATCTTATCACTGCCTCTATTGGACATTTCCAAATAAACAAAAAGTTGAAAAACAACACACTGGAGGCACCTCTCCTTCCTTTTTAATATGAAAAGATATTTAAACAAATCAAGGCACTTCATACCCACATAATAATTTACACTGCTTTGGGCTTGCTTTGACTGGTGATGAGTTCTATGTCATGCCAGAAACTGACCCCTAAAAATCACTAGATTTTTACTAAAATCACTAGAACTGGAACACGTAATGTCTTGATGCCCACCATTCAGTTACACTTCACTGGTAACATAGCAGTCTAGATTTTCCTCTACAGATTCTCCCCCCACCTTATTGTCAACCTGTGTAGTTTTAGTTGGTGTGAACCCCCAGTGGCTCCCACTAGAGCCAAAATTGCCAGTAGACAGATCAGTGTGCCTGCTGCCCACCCCCAATAAATCATTTTGGTTCAACAATAAGCACATTTGACCAATCAGACCCAGTTACTCAGATGACCTCTGCTGGGCCTTCTGGGAAGGAAAATTGCTCTTTTCCTAGGTAGGCAATCAGAAAAGAGCCTCTGCCTTTCCCTAGAATGAAACTTTTATTTCCTTAGAATGAGTGGGAGGAGAATGTGAGGTCTGGAATTGTGGCAGTCATGTTGCTAAGAAAAACAGAGAACCTAGGGCTGCTAGGAATGAGCGGGGGATAGCAGGAAGGTGGTAGATGGGGGGAGGTACAGCATGTCCTAGAGCCTAAAGTGAGGGACAATGCCAAAAGCCAGTCTAAAGTGGAGAGACTCTGGAACTAAGGAACTAGCTGTGAGTTTATAGATCAGTTTCACATGAAACTGCTACAATTCTAAAGTTTTCAGTCACAGAGTACATTTCTTTAATGTCTTGAGTAGTCTGGATTCTGTTACTTGCAGCAATAAAACCTTACCTCATTCAGGCAAAATAGCATAGACTAGACAGGAATCTTTCACCCCAGAATTGTGCCCCTATGAGCGCCACGATGTTACTCTGTGATGACTGGGAGTGAAGGAAATGGCCAGTGCCAGGTGGTTAGTAAGATAGGTAGGAAACTCAAGGTTGACTTCTACCCTGATGTCAAAGATGAGAAAGAAAAGAACTCAAAGACACAGCTTGACAGTTACTGTAGGAGGAGTTCTTGATCAGCATATGAAAAAGAGCCTGAGTTAACATGTTTTCAAAGGAAGGACTGAATAGCAGATATTTATAAAATAGAGGCTTCCTGGTTCTCACAGTCAATTAAGGCAATTATGAAGATGTTTTTAGTCACTAGTGGATATTGCAGCCTTCTTTTTAAAGGTGCTTATTTTCAATGAAGATAAAATGATCACCTTTGCAAAAAAGGCATGAGAGTATTTTTTTCATGTTACTTTACTCAGCAGATACTAAAGAATGTAAAACCACTTTAAGTACTGTTAAATTTGTTCCCTGGCCATTTCTAAGCCTCTCATTTAGTAGTAACTTACTTTAATTTTAAGGATCACACTCAAAAGTTCGGTCTTGATTTTAATATTAGAACTGAGACATTGTCAACTCGTTTACTTTTTCACAAATTGGTAAATAAAATTAAAGAAAATAGACTGGGAAATAGATTGGGGCAGGGAAATATTTCTTTATCTTATTAAGAAAAAGAATAGCCTTTCTTTGTCTACTTTGAACATAAAAATCAATTTTTCTATATAATACTGAAATATTTAACAAAGCATAAAACATAGGCATTTACATTAAAATACAACCTTAATACAGCCCTGTAATTTTCACCAGGGACTGTGTAAAATATGGTGAATATACATGCATGAATATTAAAGCAAGAAAAACCACTCTACATTCAAATGGAAATTCAGCATTGCATACAATATAATAAATATCCAGAATATCAAATCCACAAATTGATCATTAATCTGATTTAAATTCTTTTTCCAGTTAGGACTTCTACTATATAATTTATTATAATAACCTTATGAATTAATAACTAATGTGAAAAAAGAATTTAATTAATCTGGCTACTGAAATAACACACTTCTCAATATTTTGCAACACATTTTAATCTATAACACATAAAACTGTCATTTGGGCAAGAAATACACATCCATATAGCTAATTGCTCAATTACTTACCTTCGTTTTCAATATTAAAAAAGTCAGAGTTAATCATGAAAAAAAAAAGAGGCCAATCTTATTTTTGAAATAATCTTATTACCTTAGCTCTTGGACTTTGGCAATAAATGTCTTAAGTCTTAATATATGACATATAACTTAAATACTATATTTACAAAATATAAATCTTTTAAGCAAAATATTGTACAAAATACTGTCTTACACATTTCAAGGATATTTTCTTTATAATGTATGAGAGCCCTTTATATTTTTATCTCACTTTTCCCACATATTTTCAGGGTTTCACTCCCTCAGTACCTTAGAGCTAAATTTTTAACAGTGAACACTGGCCTAAAATAAAAATATGTATCCAGAGATTGCTATATACCTTATGGAGGTTTTTCTAGGCAAATTCTACTGGTTAGAAGGCACCTAAAATCCAATTCATTTTAATTTCTACATTTTGATTCTTTTTTGTCACTACACAGCTCTACTGACTACTTTTTAGGGTTACAGTATGACTTATGAAGGTTCTTTTCCATTGTTCTTTTGATGTGCATGAAAGGGCAGGCACCCACCACTCAGATCAACTTTTCAGCATCTGCCCATGCACAAAAACGTCCTGTAATTTTTTCAATTAAAATACTGAGACTAAATGAGATTCATATTTATGTTCCTTGCTGCCATAAGAGGTGCCTTTAAAAAATGACAAATATTCATCCACCATTATTGATTTTCCTAACTGAGATACATAGTTGAGGATCTTATCCTGAGTATGACCAAGTCTCCAGCAAGAGGGCTCTTTCCTGTTCTTTCTTCCTTAGCAAAAGGATTTATCTTCCTTATATGTCTTTTTATATCTTCCTTATATCTTATATAAGATATATATATCTTCCTTATATCCTCCTTCTATATCCTCCAAATCATCCAAAGATGAATGGAAACCTTTTCAATGCTAGAATCCCAAGAAACCTGCAGGATTGATGTGTGATTGGCTGTCACTCAGGTAAAGCAAACCTCAAATGGGCCAAGGATCTGGAAATTCCAATACAAGAATCATCTTCCCAAGCCCTGCATAATAAGAGGCATCCTCTGGCTTGTAATCCCATCATGTTGCTGAGGAATGTTGTTCCAGGCTGGATGGAGTGGCTACTTACAAGTGTGGACATCTGTCATGCTTTCACACCTCCTGCAGCGGACATAGCAGCACCAGATAAACTTACACTCACACCTTTCCACGTGCCTGACCACATGGGTGTTGTAGCCTCGGCCACAGCAGAGGAGGTTGCAGCCATCTGCACCTTCTGATGTTCGGTTGCATTCCCTGCCTTGTGTCCCTGGGATTCCCAGTTTTTTATCCTCCACGCAGTAGTTGGGAGACTTGTTAACATAGAGTAGGTCATCCTTGGGGATTGGTATTTTCCTCTGATCTTTTTCTTTCCTTCGCATTTTTCTCTTTATTTTGTCTGATATCTGGATACTATTTTCATATTTATCTTTTAGCAAATGGCCAATCTTTTCAAAAGAAGATAGAGTTTTCCAGCACGTTTTCACAGCACAGGAACCAGAAACTCCATGGCAGCGGCAGTCTACTGACATCAACTTGGCAACAGCCTGAAACCAACAGTGATTTTGTTCAAATGTCATTCACTAAGTGTCTCACTCAACAACAGAAGCACAACCAATTTAATCACTTAACTCTCTGTATCTATTTCTACCTGTATAAAAATGATGGTCTTAAACATAAAGAATCTTTAAGACTATGTAGAGTTCAAATGTTCTGTCCTTTAATTTTGTCCAAATGTCTTGGCCCTGAACAGCAAACTTTTCCAAACTACACTGAAAGCATTAGTAGGCCAGGTTAATATTATCAACAGAGATTATCTGGGATACCAAAGGGAAATTACTCTTATTTCTAATAGCCTACTCAATTTGATGTGCATGCCTAGCAGTTTCTGATACCATTCAACACCTTACCACTCAGAGTGTCATTCAAAGATCAGCTCCTGCCTGACTTTTGAGAAATACATTCAATCCTCACTTCAGACCTATAGAATCAGAAGCTGCATTTTAACAACATCCCCAAGTGATTCTTACCCATATTAAAATTTGAGAACCACTTACATAGCTGGTATAACTCTTATAGTACAGTACAGGGAAACTTCCCTGAAATTTTACAAGTAACCAATGCTCATACTGTTGAGATTCTGGCTTAATTACGCAGATGATTTTAATGATGTCCAGTGGTGACACTGAACTAATTCAATTAAGAGGTCTTAGGTTTGATCACTATAAAAGTTACCTTCACAAGGATTGGAGGTAGGGAGAACATGCTACCCCATCACAGATCATATGGAAAACACTGACTAATCAAGTTAGACTGGTCAAAATGAGGACAGGCTATAGAGTATAGTTGCTCCGAGCATATTCTTCTTTTCTAGAAAACTAGTTCAAACATATGTCTTATCTATGATGGCTCAGTAGCACTATCCTAACATACGATATAGGAAAAGGATAAATTTATATACTTTTTCACTTCTACTGTAAGTGCCAAGTGCAGTTTATACAGACTGAGGAGTTGAATGAGACTACATATATTTGTACTAGCCCACTGCTTGGTGAATATGCTTTCTCTGAAGAAGTTACAGTTAGGATAAAAATTTTCAGTGAGTCTAACAATAAAAAGGAAATAGAGATTTCAAAAGTTTCCAGCCTCTAACCTCTTACATACCGAGCTAGCCAACATAGCTTTCTTCAGTCCCCAGATGATGGCAGAACAGATTAATAAATCATCAGGACTAGCTGTAGAGTTGATATTCTGTCAACATACTAGGTAAAATGAAAAATAGATCTGTCTATTCAATAACTTGGAAATTATGTATATAATATCAAAAAAGAAAGGAAAACCTCACAGTTTAAATTCCACTTACAGCTTTTATCAAAATTATAAAATGCAAGTGTCTATACTTTGCTATTTTGTACCAAATCCAACATTAACATGTTTATGGAATTACATTTTCTCACAAACAAAATTTTCTGAGCTATCTAATGACCTTGAATATTGCAAACACTTAAGGTTTATTTGTAACCTTAAATCAAAGCATATGGTATTGATTTGTACAAGGTTTAATATTTCTTACTAGTGTTTAAAATAATAAACAAAATAATACTTAAACTCGGTCCTTTGTAGACCATAGCACATAGGCTCTTTTTGAATTCACAAAACCAAGAAACTAATAAGTGCATCAATTTCTTATTAACCCAGACTAAAATGTACACTACAGTAGAGTAAGAGCAATTCATAAATGATGGCACACAGGCTTATTTCATTTAATTTATGGTATTTGATATTCACAAAGCCATCAATTCTGTAAGATGATCTGGGCAAATACATGTTCAAATTAAGCAATCTGCCTACCTTTGTCCAGCTTTAAAGTACCTGAAGCATATGAAAAAGAGAGATCAATGAGTGCTAGGTATTGTCTAAGAAAAGCTAAATTGTCTAAGAAAGCTAAAATTTGAGAATGTGTTTGTGTGTTTGAATCTGATCAAGGTTCCTTACAGTCATCACTTAGGAATTTAAAGCTCCCTTTTTCTCTAGATCACCGCTGAGGACCTGACTTTTCCTTTTCTTAACCGCTTCAGACATCATGTAAGCAGTTGCTCATTTGCAAAGCCTAAAGGACAGAGTAGATGCTTATCAAATACAGTGGACCCTCAAATTACAACTGGCCCAACATACGAACAACTTGAGTTAATTAGGTTAATGGAAGATTCATCTGCCTCTTGTTATCTATAGCCTGTACCCAGGTAAACACCCAGATCTCAGCTGTATTGACATACAACCAACTTAAGTTAAAACCTGCCTCTGGAACGGATCAATTCGTAAGTCAAGGGTCCACTGTATTGATTGAATAATTAGTCCCACTCACTAGAGCAGTTTTAACTCATCCTGTCTTGGTAACCTGATCTGGAGGAAGTAATAAAAATCACCTTTGTAAACAGGAGTCTGTGTGGGAGGGAAAATGGCACAGCTAGTGTTTGAGCCACACAGGGCTCTCCTCCAATTCCTCCTTCTTTGCCCCATCTGGTCTACAACAGTATTGGTCCACAAAAGTGACATATTGCTTCACAGGTTCAAATTCAACGTTATCACCTGATGAACTTGTACCCAAATTTTAGGAAAAAATTTCTGCTCTAGAAAACAAGCTCTCTTAAATATCTGGAGTTTACAATTCCAATGACATTTTTAAAAAGTTTATTCTATTACTTTTGAGTTGTACATGCCCTAACAATAAGTTTAAGAAAAGAAACTATTTTGATCATCTAAGGGTCATATATTATTTTTCTATTCTAGGCTCTACATATATAAATCAGCTTCAAGGAAAATCCTAATAACTCGACATCCAATTTGAATGATTATATCCTCTATAACATTCCAAGGATGGAACTTGGCCAAATTAAAGCAATATAATCGCCACTCAGAACATCATGAAATGTAGTTTGAGGTCACACACACACACACACACACACACACACACACACACACAGAATTTATAGAATTTAGTCTTTCTCAGAGCTCATTTTCATAAATAATTTTCCTTGACTTAGGAAGAAAAACTTTGCACCTAGTAGGTAGTTATCGACTAGGTATTTAGTTATGATTCCAGTTTTACAGAAAAATAAACGATGTGGTTAAAACACTTGTTTTACATCTGTTGGTGATATATAATATAAGGTCATTATATGCAACAAGACATTTTAGTAGAATAGAGAGAAATGAAAATGGAAAATATAAGTACATTTAAGGAAATTGCAGGAACACTCCAAAAAAAGTATATTCTGTATCTTTTCTGCTAGTGTGCTTAATTAATGTTAAACAGTTGTTTTGAGCTGCAGTGGTAGCTCCATTTTCTGGTAACAAAAAGTAAGAGATACAGCAGTCAAATGAGCTGTATGTGGTTGTGAGAAAATTCCTTTCTCTACTCTAGTTGACTTGTTAAGGTTTATAACAATATTAACAGAGGAATGTTTTGTTAACTATTGCAAACAGATGTGCACATTTTGGTGGAACATTTTTAAACTATGGGAGAGCAATTAGGAATGAGAGTGGGATTTTAATCTGCTGGGGTCCTCACGTACATTTTGGTTTGATAAATTTCTAATGAAGTGGTTTAGGATTGATTGGTCCTGTAATTTTAACTCAAAGATAATGAAGCAGGCAGAGACTGATTTCCAGTATATTGCTTTATCCTGACTTTACAGGAATGGCCAGAAAAATGTTGCAGAACATTTTGTGACTAACATTTTATTTTGTCAACAATCAGATGATTTGTTCAAGGTTTTATGAAAACTGCAGTATAATGTCGGATGGATGTACATAGCATTCCTATTTCTCTGACCCATTTTGTTCCTTTCTGCCCCAAAATATATCTTAAAAGCAAAAACACTTCTGTGTTGTTCAACTACTTATAAATATTCTTGAAACAAGTCAATGAATTTGGGGCTGGCCCTTCCCACTTTGTTGAGTTGCTCATCATAAAACAAATTATGGGGTAGGGAAACTTAAAAGTTTATGAGGTAGACATGGTAAGATGGAAATATTTTAAGCACACCAAAAGAAATACCCATAAATATTCCAAGTCACATTATTCCCAGAAGTTCTGCCTCTGGAAGACATCACATCATTCTGTTAGCCAATCACCATCTATCTACATTATTCTTGGAGTCATAACTTTAGGAGTGGTGTCAGAAACCAAGTGGGAATCAGAGTATTTAAGGTCAATGGTTAGAAAATCATCTATCCTGCTCATAGCACTACTAAGCGCCAGTACCCACATTTCTCTGAACACTTTTCCTACATTTTCAGTTTTACATTTTGAGACTAGAAAAATTAACTCAATTGAATGCAGACTTTGATCTTTACTCAGACAAATGTGCATAATAGATTAAAATCCTAATAACCAACATTGAAAATGGAGTTGATTGCTCTTTCATGTTAGATAATAACCTAGAAACCTGCTTTTGGTTTAAGTTGGGATTTTTTTACTAGCAATGGAAAGAAAAATACCAAAAATGTTTTGAATTATAATACCTCATGAGAAAAGAACAACAAAACCCCAAAATAGTACTCTCAAAATAACCAGGTAAATACTTTGTAATATTTTAAGATTCCACCTAGAAAAACATGAAAAAAATTTCAATAGAGAAAAGTCTGAAGTCTACAACAAAGTACATACATATATGTAAAGATTGAATTATTTCTGCTCACACTAAATAATAGTAAAAATCTACTTAATATGAGGAAATGCTTTTTGCTAACAAGGAGTGGATTAAAATTGAAGTTGAATAGTTGTATGTTTTTAATAAATCAGAATATAAACAATAGTTCAAGATCAATATTAACAGTTACAGAGGGCAAATATTGTTAGCTAGTTTGGAAAAGCACACAAGGTAAAACCAAACAGGAGCTTAATGTTACTAATCAAAACAGATTTTACAGTGCTTTAGTGTTTTTCATAAGTTTAGAGATACCTCTCTATAAGAAAATTAATCATAGCATGAGCTTCTGAGTATTGATTTACTGGTTTTAATTTTTTGATCACTACAAAATTATTTCAAAGATGGCTAAAAGTTTAAGTTATATCCTGATAATAAACATTCATTTAATTATCTTATTTGTAAAATATATTAATTTGATATATCTTAATATTTCTCTCTAGTTTTTCACTACAGTTTTAAAAAGCATGTTAATTATATTTAAATTTTTATATTAATATTTTAGAAATCATAAATATTCCTTTATTAGATAATATTTAAACTGAAGCAAAATCTCATTCATTTTTTAATGTAAAATTTAAAGTGAAGAGACATGTGCATAACTATGGTAGTTAGGCAAGACTTAGATAAAATGCCTTTTAAAATTTCTGAACAAAAAATATGGAAAGGTTTGGTAGCTATTTACTGATTTTCCTGCTTGTTATTTTGAATTGAATATTCAAATCAAATTGAAAATTTAAATTTGATTTTGAAAAGTTACAATGATACTTTTTCTGAGTTTTCTGTTTTGTATATTAAATGAGGGAAGTTAAGTAAAGAAAATTGGGTGGAACTTGCAACTCTTCTAAATGAGTCCCATTTATTCATTTCCCAAAAATGTAAAACGAGTGCAACATATACTTTAAATATTCCTAAGAGATGTTGCAACTTGTTTTAATTAATGTCAGGAAAATGTGGCAGACTACAATGACTACTTTGGGACTTTTAAAAGGTTATTGGACATTTACAATAATATACAATATGTGCTAATACTCCTATCCTGTAAAGTTTATTATGACTTAGAAAATATATAGTCATTAAATAAGTTATATATATTTTTAGGAATGTCCATATTAACTGCCAACTAGCCCACATATTGCAGAATTCAAACTTTATCATTATTCAGTAATATAAATATATAAAAGTTAAGCTACACATATACTCCATTTTAGGAAAACATTATAAAAATAAGAATTCATAAAAGAAGTTGCTTGGGTGACAGTTTTTTAGATTTGCTCTCCTCAATGTGTTTTAATATAGCTATATTTAAAAATATCCATCCATACATTTAATGTAATTAGAGCTTATTTATATTTATGTGTATTTTACAAAAATTTTTAAGTGAATCTACACTGATTTACAATAAAATAACTAATTCCCTTTAAAAAAACTTTGTGGTTGTGTTTTCCCTGAGTGTTTGCTAAAGAGAGTAAGAACAAAATGAACATCATGTTTAGGAACAATTATCAACTAAATAATGGATTTTGAAAAATATAAGCAAAATTCAAATTTCGGGAAAAAACATTTGATTCATCCCATTAAAAAGGCAGATATGCTAAATCCTGTTCTGGCTTTGCCACTAACCAGCTAAAGGGATGGAACAAATATTATAACAGGCACTTATGTGTGTATTATTTTATAAATAATCTTTTAGGTATATAAAACATACAACCACTAATACATTCTAAGACTCAACTCACATTAGATGTAGAACTTAAACTAAACCAATGTGATCAGCATACAGGAAGGAATACTTCTGCTGCCAGCATTTAGTTTTTAAATAATTTGTGTGGATTTATCCAGAAGTGTAATCTTAGCATTATTCACCCAAAGACACTGGATTTTTATTTGATCTTCTAATACATACCTGCCTTCCAGCTTCATTATTATGTAGATTCATTGCTGACAGTACTTTGCTGTCTTTTTCCGTAGTGTTTCTGATAGGCAAATCCAGGAACTTTCTGCTGAACCACATGCCATACTGGACATCATCGGAGCAGCCCCCCCAGTGCCAGCCTTCACTTGTGGAGCCACCATTCTGCAAGGTGGTGTCGCAGGAGCATTCTGTCATATTGCCGGCACTGCACGACCTGGTCACAGAGTGGACCAAGCCTGCAGCCATCACAGCATAAATAAATGCTGTCTCCTTGGTGCCTAGAATAAAACAAAAATTGCTAAATTAGAAACCCATGTCACTTTCTGTTTATGTTTCAAACAAAGCCTCCTACTCATTCTCTTACCAGGCAAGCAATTTTTCAATAGCTTTCAATGAATATTTTAATGAGTACATATTTAGGAAGAAGATCCTTTATCATTCTAGTCTTTGAAAAAACAACACTAATTTTCAGTATTCCACTTGAAAAGTTTGTTTTTCATACATTCTCCTTATATCTTAAAACCATCTTTTTAAAATTTAAAATAAAATTTTAAAAATGTGAAACCTAGCTTAATGTTTAATAATAATAGCTCAATAATACGTGTTGAATTTTAAATCTTTTACATGGATACAGTAAGTAATAGTAAAAGATTCAAATGAAACTAGATTACTTTTCTTTGTAAATTTAAAATGTAACAGGCTGAAAAATTTGGTATGACTTTTGTTTGCATAAATCATACCTATCAGAATGTAAAATGAAATTAAGCAAAGACCAAGGCAATTTATAGATGAATGTTAGTTTGCTTTCACGTTAAAGACTGAGACTTTTTTAGAAAGAACATTGTTAATAGCAACCCCTCATCATAATATGAATCTGTTAACATTTTATATAGTACTAGCTAATCCTTTTACAGTCTTAAAGAAAAGTAAGAAAATTAAAATGGCACTAGCAAAAAAACAACTATCATGGAAAAGTATCCTTTATTGAAATAGTTGTATTTACAACTCCTGCAGTAGAGTTTGAGCTAAAATCTTTTAAAATTAAAGTTCAACTAAAATGTTAATAAAATAGACCAGAAAGGATTCAGCAGACAACTATTTTTTCTTTCCAGATGTTTAGATTGGAGTAGAGACAGTTTCGTGTCCGATGTCCAATAAACCTTTTCAACAGCTAATGCTTCTGGATTTCAGCAACTGTGAAAAGCACATCTTTTTCTTCTTTCTTTTCTTTCTACCCCCTGTGGGGGTCGGAGCTCCTTTGGAAGGATGTGCAGGCCAAAGCTCCGGGGCAGGGGGAGTGATGCTTTGTCAACTGTGCGTGCAGGGGCCTTGGGGGAAAAGGTCGAAGGTGGAGAGAGAGCGGAAATGAACTTGATAAACGACAACGCATCTTTCAGCGCCCCAGTTCTAAAATTCTTTTAATCTGTTGTTATTTCTGGAACAGTCCTGGCTCCCTGTACTTTTATTCTTACCAAGTCCCTACGCACGTGGCAAGAGAACTTTTTATTTTACTTTACTTTTTGCAGCTTCCCGCGCCGCGGGAGTGCGCTGAGGAAGGGAGAGAGGGAAATGAAAACAGAGGAGAGAGCTAAAGTGGTCGCAGTCAAATTGGCAGCACGTTGGGCTGCCCCGGACATTGCCTTTAAAATCACCCTTATTTTGTCAAACCAGGTCTCCTAGGAGTCACCAAGGTGGAGGCTTCTCTTCAACTAGCCACTTGTCCAGGGCTCGGTGCGGAGCAGTTAAGTCAAAGCAGATGCGACAGCAGCCACATTCCCCGCTGCCGACCTCATGTTTCTCCAGCTGGTGTCTCACGTAGGGGGGCGCTGCGCGGTCCGAGGGTCGGCCAGTAGGAGAGTCCCAGTTTCTCTCCAGCCCGGGCGGGACCTCCGGAAGGTGGGCGAGTTGCGCTGCCTCCCTGGCGCGCGGGACCTGGGGAGTCGCCCCCTCCAGGGCCGCACCTGCGATCCGGGCTTGGCGTCTGTGGCTCCTAATTCCCTGCACTACACGGTCTCTTTCAAGATTTGGAGAGCTACGGGACCGCGCCAGCGCCGGAGAACTCGAAGAAGCGGGCACAGAGGTCGTCGCCTTCGGTTCCCCGCCAGCCCCCAGGGCCCCGGGACTCACCACTGCTCAGCTCGTAGCCAAAGAGGGGACTGGTGCCAAGCGCGGGCCCTGCGGCAGAGACCACGCAGTTCCATCGCTCGTGCTTGAACTGGCTCCTGCACTCCTGGATGCCCAGCCGGGCGCCCTCGCGGATGCTGGGCAGCAGGTACGGTTTCCTCTTGCACAGCTCCTTCTGGCGGCTGTTCAGTGGCAAGTTGGCGCAACCCAACTTTTCCGGAACCCCAAAGGAGGCGATGCCCAACCACCTGTAACACACGGCCGCCCCTAGCGTGAGCCGCTCTCCCGCTCTCCTCCCCAGTCCGAGATGTTTCCCTGAAAGTTAGGTCAACCGTCCGAGGGTCTCCGCCCCTGCTCTCAGTTGACGGTCCCCGGTGCTGGGCATCCCTTTCTCCACACGCCCCACGTGCCTCTGCAGACCCCATACTCACATCCAGTTTCCTTGGGCTCCGCAGGGGAACAGCGCGAGCAGGGCCGCCCACAGCGCGCACAGGCGGGGCAGGGCCAGGAGCGCCGCTGTGTCCATTGCCCCGCATGGAGTCCCCAGCCCCGGCCACTCCTCTTCGGCCCGATCTCTCCGGAGGCCCGCAGAGCTGGAGGTCAACTCCCCAGCACCAGATTGTCCCTCGTCCTCTTTCTCCTTGCAGACAACACAAAAAGAAGACCACCAAGGATAGTGGTTCTCAGCACTCCCCCACCAAGTGTGAGGAGGTGGAAGGAATGGCTTGGGGGCCCTTCCCCTGCGCGGAGGTGGCGCTGTGCTGGAGATGCAGAAGCGTCCCTAGCTTTCCAAGGTGCGAAACTTCGGTGGATGTCTCCGCGTCTCCATCTCCCCGGCTTTTCTCATCTCCTCCCCCGTGACCTGCCTGGCGCCTGATTGGCCCAGCGGCTGACCCACGTCTCATCATCCTGAAACTTCAGGCTCTCATTGGCTGAGAGTGGGCTCTGCTGGGGTCGCTCTGGTCCCGCGCCTCCCCGACAGCCAGTTCAGATAAGTGGGGGGTCATGACCTTTCCTCCTGTCAAAGCCTCCTTGGAGGGGTCGCTGAGGGGTTGATTGAACCCAACGACTGGTAGGGGAGCCTTCGTTTTAGCAATCCTGGGTGCAAACAAGAGTTTCATGGGGGACATTTCTGTTACACCCACCCAGCTTCATCTGGATTACTCTGGATAGAGAATAATCTTTTTGCGTTAGAGTTGGTACCAAGCAACTTGACCTTCCAACCTTACCTGCTGGAGGACTCATGCTTGAGGAGCCTTTACAGAGTGAATGAGGTGCTTCAAATTTAAACTCATCGTCATTTATTATGCATTTGTTTTTAGAGACCCCAGACTACCATTTAATCTATAATATTTCAATTGTGCTCATGATCCCCCCACCCCGTTTGTCTTATTTCCTGCAGTCTTTGAAAGCACTCTCTGCCTCAAGCAAAAATGGGGGCTGCAGAAGTAAACGAGAGCTATGTGGAGAACTCTGGAGCAGATGAAGAATGTGTTCTTACTCTTCTCTCCAGGCCTGCATTGGCTCCAAGGAAGACCTTGGATGGGGCTGCACCCTGAAAACCACCAACCCAACAACCATCTTAAACACCTACTGTGTGCCCAGTCCTGCAGGAACTTATAAAGACAAACTCCCTTCCCTCAAGTGTACAAACCAGCCATAAGCAGAGAAGTTGAAAACAAAATAATTGGAACTTATCAGTAACAGGGCATCCAAAAAGCAAGCTAGCAGAGCACTCTGGGGCTGAAGGTACTTCAGAAGCAGGAAACGTCCTATCAGCTGATAGTTTTGCAAGATTAGTTAGCCAGGGTTTTGTAGGATGGAAAGTTTCTGCGAGAGCTCTGAATGCAATCAGAAAATGTTTAGCTGTACTATTAGCCCTGCTTCAACTACTTAGACATAGAAATGTTTCTGAAAAGCACACCTGCCTCCCATCACAGACTTCTGAAATCCTAGGAAACACTTGCAGTGGCCATTTCAGATCAGTGGATGCCCCAAACCAGATACACACACTTTTCTAACTTTTCTAACTTTTCTAACATTTGCTTTATATTCCCCATATCCACCCACAGAAATAGAAATTCCAATTCTGGCCCCTTCACTCCTTTATCCAAAAAATATTTAGTGAGTGTACACGATGTACCAGGTCCTAAAGCCACATTGTAATTTTTACAAAGCCAAGTTGATGATAGGGTATAGTTACTGATCCAGAAATATTTTTGGCTAATGGCTAGTGGCCTCTCTGAAAATCAGAGCCTTCATCTAAGCTCACTTTATTTTGTGAGCTTCTCCAAGAGGCACTATGGTATATTCATTGCTGTCCCACTGCCATTGGGCCCAGTATATGAGATCCTGTTTTGAAGCACAATTTATTGAGTGGGTTAACATGATGAGGAACATCCTGAGCAGATACCCAAGTGGCCTAAATGCTGGAACTGGAGAAGTTTCTTCCTCATAAGGGGAATTGGAGGGGTGCAATCTTGGGATTAGGGACAGTGTGTGAACAACAGTCCCTTAGGATGATTTTAGGCCAACAATGGCAAATGTTTTAAAGCAACTGTTGAATTTTTTTATTCAAAAATACATATCAAGCTTCTGTTATGGATTAAAAAATGAAGAGCACTGAGTTGCATGGTTGTATAGTTCATAGTCTACTTGGCAAGACACACAAGTGAACATGCACATCATGTCAGTACAATGTAATACATATGGGAAGTATAGTGTCCTCTGAACACACATAGGAAGATTATTTAATCTGGTCTTGGAAGCAGAGGGAGGGAGCAGTCACTTGAGATTTTCCTTCATTATTATTCCCAGGATAAAGCACTGTCCTGGGATCAAGCAAAAGGTTTTGAAAGAACATTCAGAGTACACTATTCTTAAGAGTCTAGAACCACTAAGTCAAACATTTTCAAATCCAAGTCCTGTACTGGTTGTATGTAGTCTAGGACCTTAAAGGTCATTCTGTCTATACTTCTAAAGCAAAGAAAACAGATTTTCAGAGTGGCTTCTGCTGAAGAAGTAGGTTTTTCATTCAATTAACAGCCACTTGAGCACCTGTCAGAGTCATGAACTTCATACATGTAGAGCCTATTATGTATCCCAGATCTTCTCTTACTCTCCCTCTCTCTTATGTATCTTTTTCCCTCTCTCTCTGCATATACAAAATTCTAACCCTACCCCCAACAACTGATCCTAATGTTATGGATGAGGGAATTAATTATTTCAGCTAGTGAGTAGAAGAGCTAAAACTCAATCTTACTTTAGAGGTCCTGTTCTGTCCACATACTGCTGCATAACCTAATCAAAACCACTACTTATTTTTTTGTTCTGACCAAATCCCACATCACTAGGCCCTGTGGTTGAAGCTTCTCATCCGTCTCATAGTTCTTTCACTGCTATCTCCATTGAAAAAGATCCTGTTTTATGAAAATAAAACTCCCAGGGGGTGGTCTCCAGAAGTAGTTTTTCTGAAGTGGATCTCTCTGAGGCAGGTGGCAGTCTGCATGGACGCTTTTCATTTTCCCTCTCTTTGCTCTGTGTGTGTGTGTGTGTGTGTGTGTGTGTGTGTGTGTGTGAGAGAGAGAGAGAGAGAGAGAGAGAGAGAGTGTGTTTTGTGGGTTGGGAGGAACCGAGGAAAGAGCATTGTGTCCAATTATGTGGAGTCCTAGTCAGCAGCTAGTAACTGTATGCAACTCATTTCAACTTAGCACTTCAGTTTTCTCATCTGTAAAATCAGAAGCTCTCTTTCAGATCTGAATCTCTCGGCAAGTACTGAAGGCCAAAGGGAGGTGCATGTGGTTTCATGGAGCTGGGGGTTAGAATTGGGAAAAGGACGCTGCATTTGCTAAAGGATTGCAGAAGGGGCTGAACCCTTGCCACCCACAGCTACCTAGGAGATGAAGCCTATCCTCAAGGGGTCACAGACAGTGATTAGTATTTTTATTTTAATAATTAGTATTATAATAATAATTAGTATTTTCATTTTGTATCCTCAGCTCCACATTTGCTTCTAGATTTCAATGAAAGTGAATTATGTTAATTGAAGAAATCTCTTTAAATGGTCAAGTCATAGCATGTTATAATCTTGTCAAATCATATGAAATTTTACTTGGAGAATAAAAGTCACAAGTATTTTAATTATCAATGAATATGAAAGTGAGGAGCTCTTTCACAATCTGATTTATATCAATGTGAAGCAATCTGCTTTAATGCTCTCTAGACTTGAGGGATAAAGTAAAACATGGGTTAAATCTAACTGTAAAACTACAAATTTCAAATCGTTTATCTCTTTAGCCACAAGCAGGGGCTTCATTTCCTATTTAAAATTTTTGGTTTTGTGATTTGTAGGGAGGACAAAATATTACTCGAGTAGAATATAACTTGATGCTTAATTGTGCTATTCAAGTTTTCTAAACTTCAAATGCTCAGTAACAGAAAACCAGAGGTCCATAAAATGTTTTAAAGATCATGTCACTGGTCATTCAAGAAATGAGAGCCAATATTGTATCATCTCACCATCTGAACTCAGCTATCCAAAATTCAACTGATGCTGTTAAGAACAGCACCACGTGACTTCAAATTTGCATAGGTCTCTGAAGCTTCTATAAATTCTTGATTTCACATGGAGTGCATATACTTGAACTTGTTTTCCTAGCAGGGAGGAAGGTGTTTTGGACTAACCACTGGGAAGAGAACATAGGAATGGGTGAAACAGGTTTTGAGCATGCTCATTTTATTCAAGGAGTTCTCTTCAGTGTCTGAGTCTGTTCTGTGACTGTGGCCATCTCTGACCAGCTTAGGAAACCAAACCAGATAAGTAGCTGGCCAGCAAAAAATCTCACCTTCCACCCCAGACAGTTGTATATCACTAGTTTAAAAGCCAGGAGAGCCTGTTCTTTCTTTTAGCTTTCTTTCAGGCCCTGGGGAACTTAGCAAAAAAGTCTGCCTGCACAGATATGCCTTGGACTCTGCCTCTGGCAGCCCATCAGAGGACAAGACTTCTAAAGGCCCTGTTGTAAGAATTTCTGTTGCAGATCACAGAGACTTATGCACTGGAAACTGATACCAGCAGCACCCCAGCTGGTCTTAACTCCCACGTTAGAACAGAGGACCAGAGGTGACTTTTTACATAACTGGGTCCCCATCCATTCTATTTTAAATTTCACCTGGATGCGGCAAGTGTGGGACAGAGCACAGGCTTGTGACCACTGGCTCTCCGGGTTGGGGGATGGTGAAGAATGGCATTCTACATGCCCTGCTGTCCTTTGGAGGCCCCAAAAGCTGGAGGGAAGGACAGACTCAACGTAGCAGAGGAGATACCATCAATAGTCTCAGGGAATGAGCAGGAGTTGGAAACATTAGATGATGTCTTGCTGTTTAAATTTCCACAAGTACAAAAATTTTTTTTTGTCCTAGAATTTAAGGCTGAAGAAGCCTCATAAAATGTTAGTAGAGAATGGCTTGTCTCTTGAATGACATCTCCTTGCCAACCTACTTTTAAAAAGTAAAACTTTTTTAAAGTATTCTGTAATCTGGAAAAAAAAGTGGCTCATCTTCATCCTAAGCATTATTTATAGGCGCTGTGCAATCTTTTCAGAATGAGGAAACAAAAGTGACACCAGTGGTTGACAAACCAGAGTGACCACTGTTGTCCACAGGACAGAGGTAAGGAAAACACAAAATTGAAATACACAAGAAGACAGAGTCTTTGAATGCCCCTTTAAACAAAATCTTCTCAGCTTTTCAAAATAAAGCAACTTCATCAATTAATGAATTGTTATTAATTTTAATAAGGTATTAAAACAACTTCAAAACCCTGGAATTTAC